ATCGGCTTCTCGTCACAGAACGCCTCTCGCCAGGGTGAGGATGGAATTGCTTTTGTAATCATCGCCGGCGAGCGTCAGTCAGCCGATAGGAATAGTGAGCGTAGGTGTAAGAAAAAGGGGGAAAAGGAGAAGAAGAAGGCAGGGGCAAATATCAGAGAGTTAATATAATAAACGGGCTCTCAAGCAGAGGAAGTTCTCAGTGTCAGCGATCCATTTGTGTCTCATCACTTCTTGCCGCAGGCGTGCAGGTGCCAGCGCCCTCCAGTGGATGCCTGTGTGGATAGCAAGAGGCGGATAGTTGTACTGTCAGCGTGGAGTGATTCGTGTTTTTCGGTCAAGCTCATCGCCGGTAACGCGTTCAGACGCAGCGACTCAGTTTTCATCACCGTAGTGCGGGATTCAATGGCCGAATTTTGCAGGCACGCCGCATTCGTGTCGCACCAAACAGTACGCTCTTCATATTTGTGTGACTGCTAGCTGACGCCACACCTCTTCATCGCGTGCACGGCGGCTGAAATCAACTGTGCGCCAGGGTAGAGAGTAGAGAGGAAAATAGAAGAAAAAACAGAGCGACAAAGAATACCACCACGATCCATGTCAAGAGCAGGGAGATGATACCGGCAACAGAAGCAGCGTTTGCACAGCACATGTCTGGTGAACGCTGACCTCACCTTTTTTTTTGTACTTTTTATTGCTCTGACGCACTATTACCGCGTCTGGCCACGTTGGATGGTGCAGCCTCGCTTGCTTCCTCCAATGGATCCCGCTTTCTCTTCGCGCCGGACCCACAGCCCGTGCAGCCGCACACTGTGCACCCTTCCAGCCGCTTCCTCCGGCGCTGCTCCACCGGGACGCGGCAAATGCACGTGCCCTCCGCACGCTCCTCTCCACTATTGCCTTCACGCCTGCCCGGCTTGTTGCGGTTTGTGTGTTTGCTCACCATGCGCGCAGAGGCACTCGCCGTGCCGGGGACGCAGCACGCGGTGCAACATAGTCGCTCATACCCTGGCAGCTGCCACCGCCGCACAAGCCCTGCGTCAATAAAATTCATCTCACAACAGTAAGTAAGAACCTCGCTCGATATTGACTTCTCGCGATAACACGCATTGAACACATAGCGTGTCCGCTCGCGGTTGATGCGGGCAACACGCCAAAGCGGTGGGACCGGCTTCTCCAAATCCACCGCTTCAGCCTCCTTCGTGCCGCTACCGTCCCCGGCATTCTTCTCCGTGCTGCCAGCTGCAGCACTTCTGCCCTTCACGCTGCGGCCACAGGCGGGGAGCTGAGCCTGCTGCGGATCATCAGTCAGCACAAGCCGCATCTCTGCCTCGTACTCGTCAAGTTTATCGTTGATCAGTTCAAAACCTGGCGGTGGCCGCCGCATGCCTGGCCGAATCTTGGGCATTGTACTGAAGAAGGAAGAAAACTGAAACTGGAAGGCAACAAATAACAAATTCCCCTAGCCAGGCAACACACACCTCATCTTCCCCTCGACCGCAACCACGCAATCAAAAGTAAAAGAGGAGCGCTACACACACCCGTGCGCCCCTGCAGCAGACCCAATCACCGCACGACTTGCCCCAGCCACCTAAAAACCACCTGCCCACCAAGTGAAACCAATGGGGGTCCCTCCAGTGGCGTTAGTAAAGCAAAAGAATCCTCGAAGCAGGAAAAAGCGCACCGCCACTCCGGTGTCAATAACTGCCTCACCCTGAGCTGACCATTCATCTGCCAGCACTCGTCCCACATGAGAATCCGGCACCTCAGGCGGATGAGGCAGGTGTTAGCGCAGCTCATAAGTAAGCAACAACAGCAGCAGTAATGCCGCAAGGGGCAATCTTCTACGCTTCTCTTCATGGGATCATTAAAAGCTTCACGATTCATTAAAACATACGTTCATGACACGCGCCAACACAATAAGCGCTAACCAAATGAGTAGGAAATTGAATAAAATAAACCCTATAAAATGCAAACCATATTCAAACGAAAAAAAAGGCACATTGTATGAAATATCCGGCGACAACACAACACACAAGATAAACACTACTGGGCGCTGCATAAACGTAAACGGGGAGACGAAGGCAGGCGACCGGCAACGGCCCAACGCAGGCAACGTCGCGAGAAGCCCCGCTCTCCGCTGCACATGAATCGCCCCGAGCACCACTGTGGCCAGGCAGGGCGGGATTAATACAGCGTCGCCGCAGAATTGGCAGTCCCCCTCATTGCAGATCTTGGTTTTACAGTCAATCGGCTTCTCGTCACAGAACGCCTCTCGCCAGGGTGAGGATGGAATTGCTTTTGTAATCATCGCCGGCGAGCGTCAGTCAGCCGATAGGAATAGTGAGCGTAGGTGTAAGAAAAAAGGGGGAAAGAGGAGAAGAAGGT